GAGGGGGCCATGGCTGGGGTGGGCCGTGGGCGGCTGACGGGAGCCGCTTGCCTTGCAGGGGCCTGATCCAGGACATGAGGGGCGACACGTCCGTGTGCCCAGGTGAGTGGCCTCCGAGGCCGCAGCCAGGCGAGGCCGCTCCCCCATGCTCAGCATCGTCTGTGGCGTCTGTGTGTCCCTTGCTTCCCATCTTCACTCGGAGCGAGCGCGGCGTCCCCGGGCGACGCTGGGCCTGTCTCTGCCCCTCCGCTGCCCGTGTGGCAGCCGCGGGGGCGTGTCTGTCCCTGGGAGGCATGCCATCCACCCTGCCTGCCTTTCTGCTTGGCTTGGGGTGCGTTCAGCAAAACCTCAGTCCATCACGGAGGAGATGGAGTGGGGTGACGTGCCCTTGGGGTTCCCGCCTGGGCTGCCCACTTCCCGTGGCCAGGGCCAGAGAAAGGGGCTGGACCAGGCAGGATGCCCACCACCTTCCAGGCCCGAGAGGCAGACGCACCACCCCAGGATCTGCACCCCGCCGGCCCGCTGGGGTCCCAAGATGCCAGCCCTCCTCAAGCTGCCAGCAGAAGCGTCTGTGTCTGCCTCAGAACGCCGACACCAGACGCGGAGCCGGCCTCCGCCCGCCCTCCCAGGCCCCGCTCAGCCTCCCCGGCCTGAGGCGCCATCTCCAGGGACGGGGGGTGAGGACCGGGATGTCCGCTGCTCAGAGCTGCCTCCAGTTTTCCTGTCCCTGGGGCTGCCACCCAGGGCTCATCTTGGCTTTGCGGTCACGCATGTCTCTATCTCCTTAGTTGTTCTGGAAGATTCCATGTCGCACCTGTGGGTGAAACGCGCCATCTTGTGGGTGTTGACCTGTTTTTAACGACGTGACGTGGCGAGCGAGATTGCTGACCCTGTACACGTTTATTTTGGTGTTCCAGATAAAGGTAGAGCGAGCTTCCGGCAGCACTTTTTCAAGCCCGGCGGCACGGCGGAACTGAAGTGCTCCCTGAAGTCCAACCTGGCCCAGGTGTCGTGGAAGTTCCGGAGCGGCGTGCTGAAGGCCGACAGCCCCAAGTACGGCCTCACGGACCAGAAGAACCTGCTCATCTTCAACCTGTCGGACGGCGACAGCGGGGTGTACCAGTGCCTGTCCGAGGAGTCGGTCCGGGACAGGACGGTCTCCCAGGT